GATCACTGTCTACTGCTCTGGACAGTGATCCATTCTATTTTACTTTTCAGGACACCAATGAAGCTGTCTCATGAGTGGCAATCAGGTAACACCCAGAGGTATGATATTGGACTACATTACTATAGATAACACAAAATTACCCTGTTACCAAGTTTGCTCTGAACTCTTCAGAAGTTCCACGCTCTGATGCACTGAGCAACAGCTACCACCAGGTACAGGAAAAGAGCAAGGAAGACAATCCTGCAAGGTCTCCTTTTTGTCTCTGGCCCCAGTAAGGCCAGAGGAGATGTATTTGTCCTCCCATACCCCTCACGGTCATGGAGGGGGGAACAAGAGGGACTATCCCCCTTGCTTCAAATCGAAGGGCTGTCCTTTTATCTTAAGGAGACTGAATTGAGAACAGAGGAGATCACAGGTACAGTACAACTTTGATGAATCAAACCCAATACAGCCTTACCTCCACTGACAGCAGAACACAGGCATACTCTGCAATTAGCAGCCCATCTTCAAAAGAAAAAACAATGTTGGCATATGAGAAATAGAGAGCAGGTGATGCTTCCATTCACTGCAACTCTGCTGACAGTAGCCTACCTAGGAATCCAGATGGAAGAGGACTGATCTTAAGCTGCTCTTCCCTACAGAAAAGGGTCAATGTTGGGGGCTCAGGGAGCAGCACCAACCAGAAGGTGAAAGAGGAAAAAGGGTACTAGCTCTGAACCTAAATATTAACCATCTTTCCTGCGTGACAAAGGAGACTTGTGCCATTCTGATGTAGCTTTCTATTTAACATTACGTCAAACTGACTCAGTTTGGAGCTAGATGCAAACCCAAACTCACCCTAAAGTTATTGCAAGGCCATCAGGGTTCTGATGTGGGGCCCTCTGAGAGCTCATTTGCCTCCAAGTCATCTCCACAACAAGGTCTTTAGCACCACCTTTGAAAACCTCCCTAAAGATGATGCATCAGGCATCCATCCATGATGGATAAAAGCTACTCAGAGATTTGACTAGTACTAGGACCATTACTAACAAGGACTCAAAATGCACTCATCCCTTACAATGAGCATTGTTGGAAGAGCAGTCCCCATATTTCACATTTAACAGTAGGAAGCAGCAGCTGGCTTTTACTTCACCACCACCTTTACAACAGCATCCATTCCCTTTTAGCCCCATAAGGGTTTCTCCTTAATACTGCAGAAGGCCAGCACCACGCTGCATGGTTTGTCCCTGGCAGAAACATCACATCCAGACACACAAACCAGGGTCCCTTGGTTAATCCCTGCCCTCCCCGGTCGAGAGCAGACCAAGCATGCCCAGCCACGCTTTGCTCCCAGTTCTCACCTATCTTCAGCTGCTCCAAGCAATGGAAAAAAACCTTCTGCTCTCCGTGAAGCTGCAGAGGTAGCAAATCTCTGCTGTGCCTCCACTTGCAGGCAAGCAGGGGTACAGCGTGTTAGCACCTCTATCAAGGAGAAAGGGACACAGGCTAGGAAGATGCAGCATAAGCAAGCCCCTGGGTACGTAAATAAGACACAGACTTCACCCTGACCTCTTACACACACCCCAAGGATGTCATTTTGGCACACGTTCCAAGTGTGACCTCGGAATCCAGGCAGCCAACTATTTCTTAGTCTCTCTGTCTTCAGCTGTTCCCTAATCTCCTTGCAAGCAACTTCTGTGAATTCTGAGCCATTGAGAAACCCTCTTTAGCTTATGCAAAGGAAAATCAAGCCCTGCAGCCCTGGAACTAGCAGAATAAGGTGCTGCACAGGTTAAGGGGGTAGTTAAGCTGCAGCCAAGATGTAGGACTTATCCAACTCTGACTTATAACTGCTCTTCCTTCCTTCCTCCCATTTGATAGGGTCTCCGATTCAAATATTACAAATTACACTTAATTGTTAATGTAATTTTTTATATGATCTCTTGTAAACTGCCACTCACTTCTCTCCATTTCCCCAATAGCCTACTGCTTTCCGTCCTTGTACTTCTCATGCTCCCCTCTATTCAACAGTTTCTCCCCTCCTTAGGCTGAATCTAAGAGTCTAAGGACCCGTTTTTCCTCTGATTCAGCAGCTTAACATTTACTCTTAACTGAAACATACTGTGCATCCTAAAACTGATGGGTGCCTCAGTGTCATGACAAAGAACAAGTCCTTGGACCAAGCAGAAACAGGCTCATGAACTGGGACTTCATCTAGCTGAAAGCTCAAGGTAATTCATGCACATAACCTTGTCTCGTTACAGGGATTACAGAGTCTGTTGCATGCAGACATCTCACCCAAGTCCCCATCCCAACCTTACCCACCCTAGCAGCTGTAAATCGAGCTGCTATTGTGAGCACAGTTGTGTGGACACTCAGTAACTCAGCTCTGCCTCTCTCTGTACTTGCTGTTTCAGCATGGGAGCAGCTCAAATTAACTTCACCCCCTCTAGATTCCTGAGAGGTAAAAAAGGAATTCTCCTTATTTCATAAACAGCGACATGAAATGACTCAAACTCACCCAAGCAATCAAAGAGCCAGGGACTGAGCCCTAAGTTCATACAAAACCTGGCTCTTTCTTTCCAGCCTGTCCAACTAACTTCTCCCTTTACGGTTCTAAAATACCACCCATAAAGCACGCAGTTAGAGCTGTACAGAGTCCCCTTCAGCATAAACCAGCCACAATAGATAGATACAAGACAACTTACATGACTTTGGGGAAGGAAAGCTTTTTCCTCAGAGAAGATGCACACAGATGGCAGACCTGCTTCACGGTGCTGCAGGATGCCTTTTCAGGGGATGGGTTCTGGACCATGGCAGGACTTCACAATGCACAAGCCAACAGCAGCACTTGCTCTCAAGAGGAAGACTTGCACTGAATTCATCAGCAGGACAGAATTCTCAGTATTCCCTGAGAAGACCTGAGGGTCGGAGCATGGTCCTTGGAAATCCATCACAGGGGAGTTAACTGCTAGCAGCACTCCTGGGTACGACTTTTATGGTAAGAAAAGACATGTCGTTGAGATCTTGCCTATGCCTAGTTCATATTCAGCCATTCTCAGCTATGTATTCCTCTCTTTTACCCCAGAATCAACTTTGCATCCCTTTACTTTTGGCTGTGGTAGCTTCTTTCAGCACTTTCCCAGCTGTACTGAGGTTGATGCAGATCCTCCCTGCTCTGATCCTTGAAGTGCAGCACTGGCTCCTTCTGCCTGTGATAGCAGAGGCAGCGTGCCAAGAAAAGGTGCACCTTTCAGTATATACCACATGGTTTCTTATTCTCCCCTCTTCTGCCCTACTCTGCCCAGCTTTGGTCACAACTTAAGGACTGCTGAAAGCCTGGGTGGTTGTGGTTAAATACATTAGCAAAGGAGGAAAACAACCAAGGCACTTTACTAGTCCCTGTATGGATCATTTTAGGATCAGTATCCTCCATGAAAACAAACTTAGTTGTAATTAAATCTAGGCAGCAGGAATGCTGCAGGTCCCCAGTAAGTGAGGTCAGCAGGCTCAACATCACCCTGGCTCTGCATAAATAGAGCTGATTGTGCCGCACCTAAAACATGTCCCTTCCGGCCAGGAAGATATTCTTAGCACCAGTTCAAAGGCTTTAAAGTGCAGGCTTCCAATTCAAAATTCCCTTCTTGCTATGCTCCATCTGAGTATTAACAAGGCCTAACCCTGTTTAATCATGAAATCCCGGATCAAATGGTATCACAGCATGCATTACACAAAGAAAGGCCAGGTATGACAACCTAAGCACCCATCTGATTTGCTGTCACATTTTGGTTGCAAACACCATTCACTGCTCAGTTGTACCAGGCTCCACAGCATCTGAGATCGGTAACTGGAGTGAAACATATGGAGGAAAGGTTAGCTACAGCCACCAAGTGCTAATTCTGAGCCAAACCCTGTTGGGATATTAACTAGCTCTTCAGGGTCAGGATGTTCTCTCAAGTGAGTCAATTCCTCAGATGCCTACTCAGTTCTTATTCAATCCATTGGCCTTTGATACCAGAGCAGGGAATAGGAGGTTGGTAACCATCTGACTTACTACACAGTAAGAAAGAACTCTGACCTCGGCGACAGCTTATGTGGAATCACTGAGTAACAGACCTGAAACAACACTCTTACGAGGGACCATGCCCGGATGCAAGCCGGCAGAATGGAAAATGCCATATTCAGATGCTTCGTGTAACCTGCTGTGCAGCAGCACAAACAAATCAGTTCCTAAATCCCAGCATATGCCCTTCTGTGGGCAGTCCCAAGTCAAATGAAATGAAGCATAATTCCACTGTGCAATGCAGTAACAAAATAATGGGAATTTCAGAAACCAAAGTCCAGTGTAACGCTGGACCCAAGAACATCAGTAGGGAAATAGGCCTGGTAGTAGCTTAGGGCTCAATGTTCATACACAGCAGAAGAAAATGAAGCAGATTCAGGCTCAAAAGATGAACTACACCATAGAGCTAAACTCAATCATCTGGCTGCAAGCAAAGCAACAACAGTAAGTCATGCACCAAAATAGGCATTTGGTTTTCAACAGCTTTTGTGCCAATGCTGCAGTTTGAAGTAGTCATTAATCAACCCAAAGTACAAGGAACTTGAGTTTCTTCTAGAACTTCACAGCAGTTCTCACCCAGCTGAGCTCTAGATACCTCGCACTCTCACAACACATCAGAAGTGAAATACAACAGCCAGTCTTAATACTGCCTTTGCTGAGGACGAGAACCACATACAAAGATTCACTTGGGCATTTTTAAAGATCAGAGCTGCTAAGCATCAATACACATCTGCAGTTCTAAGGAACGGGTCTCAAGAGAAAAAGCAGGTTACTGTAGGAGCTGGATGCATTTGTCCCACAAGTTCTACTACATATGTTTAGACATTGATAAGATCAATGTAAATCACATTTTTTGTTGAACACCTGAGAAATACAGGGACAATAAGGAGTTCAACCAGCCCAGCCCATGTCATCTCACTGAGCGGTTCCAGGCTTCCCCATTCAGTCACAGTCTTACCTGTCGTCACGCATATAAGGGCTCAAGAACCGGGACGAGTCATCATCGTGGCTGCTTTGCTGGCTGCTCTGCTGACTGCTGCAATACAAAGGGGAAAACAGAAGCAATTAGATTTGAAACACTCTGGTTGCAATACAGAACAAGAAAAGGTTTGTACTTCGTATCTGGGGGTGCAAAGAAAAAGTAAGTTCATATCTGATTGACAACAGGCATGAGTAGTTTGAAGCCTCTTAACCTTGCTTAGTGACACTTTCCTCAAAGCTTTCTACAACACAGAAGTGACCATGCCCATTGCCTATGCACTGTTTCACCCTACCATCCCTGTCTATTACAGCTTTACATTCAAATACCGCACTGCTGCATCCCCTCTTCTAGGCAGTGGCACAAAAACGTGCTTAAACCAAACTTGCTAAGGATGAGCAGCCGTTTATTCTGGTGGAGAGTTGCGGGCAGAGCCCACAAGATGTCACTCTCCACCCTTAAATAGGTGTTTTGGGGAGGTGTTTTTAATCCCTTCGTTTCTATGGATGTTAGCCTTATTCCCTCCTAGCAGCTTCCACCTGCTCCTAGGACTCATCAGGGTTCCTGCTGCTCATTTCTACAGCTTCATTTCGTTGCAAGAGCTTCCCTTCTGAGCAGTAGATAGATCTGATTCTGCCTTCAGGTAACAGACTGCAGCACAAAGAGCAGATGTGCCCAGAGCTAGCTTCGATTTGATTTCTCTCAGTACCACTGGCTATAGAGTCATGGCAACACAGCACAAACTGCACAGTCCCACCTAGGACACTGTGCACACATCCCTGAGCACACAGGTTGTGCTAAAAAGGCTGTGGTTCCACTGTTGGAAAGACCTGGACTGTTCAAATAAAACTAGCTCAAGGTATGCGTACGCATGCTTGCAATCACAGCTTCCACTGCGCTGTTTGCTGATCTACACGTCACATTGCCCAACGGCACAGAACTATAAATACAGTCCCCAAAAGCACCAAACTGCATCTTTTCACTCTAAAGAGCAATAATTCTCAGCCAGCAACATGTAATTTTTGACAAAACATAGTACTAAAAGACTGCCTGCTTAGAACATGAGCCAGAAAACTGCACCTTACTCAAGACAGGAAAGAGAACAGGCTGAAGCTCTCAAAAGTAAGTAATGAGGGATCAGTCTTTATAAAAATCATTGAAAAAGTGATACAAAAATTAGCCTTTGAAGTTGGACAGAGAAACCCATGAAAACCTCATGTAACATTTACCCCTTTCAGCTATAAAGTCCGTGCACCGCATGGGAGACAGAGGCATGCATAGTGCGTGGGCACATTCACACAACCCCACCGAGCATACTTGGCTTGCTTCCCTCCCCATTGCCCACTGTATAGTTTTAGCATGAGAGCCAAGACACGTAAACGTTTTTGCTCCAGCCTCTCAGCAAGGGGACAGATCTAATTTTCTGCTCCTACACCCACATGCTTACTCATGCTTTTCTTCAAGTGTCTCACTGTAGAAAGGATAATCAGAGAATATTGGCTTCGAGCTAGAAACCAACAGCTGGGTAAGAGCAATGTGCCCCCAAAAGCAAAGAAACATCTTGCCTGTACTTCTGAGCTTAATTACAGCCCAGTGAACTGGTTTGCAAAGAGCACAGAGGGAACCACACTTTCCCCTCCTAATTCAAAGGGATTATCACCCTTTGGATATGAGAAAGGGACTGTTTCTGTAACTGTTTCTGCATAAAAGAAACCCTCCCACAAGAGTTTGCCATTTCCATTGAGATCAAACAAATACAACAAAACTTACCAAAGGAAAATTCTTGCTATCACAGCCCAACGACAGACAGCACCTTCAGTGCTGGTAATCCCACGTGAAAGTTTACTTATGGACACCTATACAAGATGAACCTTAGACCCTTTCCTGCTCACCCACCCATGAGTAAATTCCTCCTTCAGAAAGTCCTCTAAATGAAGGTTTAAAATTTAAACAAATCCTGTTATTGCAACACCTCGCAAGGCAAGACCTTACCCCTATGAAGGCAAGCAATGAAACCAACTCGGACCAGGAGAAATCAGTTTTTACCCACCTATTTGCCACAATCAACATGGGAGCTTTGTGAGCTTTTCACAAAGAAGGGTATTTCGGCATTCTGAATATTAGACAGCAGAGGTGTTTAAATGCCATGAAGTGTAGAGAGCAGCTGAAATGTAGGGTCTATTGTTTTATTATGCTTTACAGTCCTTTTTAAGTCAACCTGCTTTTAAGGCGACTGTTCCTTTGAGTTAAGTTATTGTTGCTATACTGGAAATAATACGAGATAACGAAGGTATGATTTGTGCTGAACAGTGCTATAGGGGAAGCTTTCAGGTACGCTTATGTCAGTTCTGTATCTAAAGAGAAGGCCAAAAGCTGGTTCAAAACCACAGGAAATCAGCAAAACAATCTTATTCTAAAACTCAGCAATGATAAACCTGCATTTGGACAAGGCATAAACTTTTGGGTACACAGGCACAGGTTGCCCCTTTCTCTATTATGGTTTCAAAGACACTAAACATCAAGGTTATACCATGTGCTTTTGACTCAATGCAACCATTCAGACTTACAACATTAGTTACTACTATAGACATTAAGAGTTTTAAAGGCAAGGTGAATCTGTTCTTAACAATTAAAGCTCAGGACTCTCCCTCCACCACTCTTCCATCTCACTGCTCCCAAACAATTTACCCAAGTAGCTAAAGTCCAGAGGAAACATTTTCCCTACTGACCAAAACAAGTGTTCTCATCACCCCCCACTGTTCAAATCACTTGTGCACTACTTGCAAGACTTCTGCATACTGAAGAACACTAAGAGTCAACTTTACAGTGGAAGGAACCCTATACTCTTTGGGCAAGTTTGCCCTTATAGGAGTATAAAGCAAAAGAGATCCTCAAGATCAAATTCGTATTTGGTGGTGTATTTCTTGTTCTCTTAACAGTGTAATCTCAGTTGCCAGTTCATCTTCCCACATCAGAAGACCCATCACCACTGTTGTACCGACTACACTCCTATGAATGCTTGCTCTAATACCTTCCTTTTCCACCAGTTTTAAGTTGTTACAAGTCTTAGTTTTTCTTGACTTCATGACCCAAATACACACACATAAACTTAGGTGAATGCTTATGAGACAGTAACACAGAAGAATGAGGTTTTCTAATTCTCACCAGAAGTGACCATGAACAGATCGAAGATACTAAAAACCCTGCAAAACTTGCTTTTGTGTCTTAAATATTTCCCTCTTGAACTTGGTCTTGGGAATCTATGAGCCAAAAGCCAGATTTTGTACTATTCTTATCTGCCTGCCTTTTTAATAAGCCTCATTTTATTTCGAGATCTCAGTCTCTGAATGATAAGGCAGAGTCAAGGGCTCTTATTTTATGCATGAATAGGCTTTTAAAGCTAAACAGGTTTTCTAGTAGAAGGTATTTGTGTGGCTTTCACAGTTCAGACACCCAGGTCAGTGTTCACACAGTAGGAGTATCCTGGGACTTCTATAGCCTCCAGATGCGGATGAGAAGTCCACCACACTTTTATATCCGCACGTGTGGTTTATTCAGTGGAGATGTCTTTCAACAGTGATGGATGAATGGGGTGAGCAAACAAAGGGGAAAAAAAAATGGCTGTGTCCTGGAAGATAGAATCAGTTAATGAATTTGGAGAATTACCCAAAAATCTGTGGCCTTCAGAAGGCTATTGTTACCCACAGCTATTAGCTACATTGCCAGGGCTGAACCCACATGAATATCTGGTATTCATTTTGCTTCATTAACCCCTGTATTCATAAGGCTTTGGCTTCAGTATTAAGCATTTCCAAAAGGAGAATAATAGACAGTTGACACATTCTTCAATGGCTTTCAGCAGCTGTGGCAACAGTTTTTGGAACTAAAAGCTACTATTATATGAAATACGATGCATTAATATTTCCATTAACATGGGTTTGGGAACTAAAAGACATGCAGGTTATAATTAATGGAACACTGAACTTGCATCAAGGTTTCTGTTACAATTTACAAAGCTTTTTGGCTATTTGAGCGCTTAGCTCTTTTCATCCTCATAGCTGTAAGCACAAAGGCTTGAATTTACCTGCCTTCAAGTACACCACAAAGTGACCAGGACTTTGGAAGAACTATCACCAGAAGCAGCACGGCAGTCCCAATATCTGGTGCAAGTTATGGTTACTTCCAAGCGGGCAAAGAAATCAAATACATTATGCCTGTTAAATGGTATTTAGTGTCAAAATCAACAGTATTTTAAGCCAAAACTCTCTTTCAATTAAGTCTAAATGATTCACTATGAAAAGAGAATCTTTTAGACAGCAAATCCCACGATATGCAAACAACTTTCATTTGAAAACTCTCCTGAGAGGTGTTTCTGCCCATCTTTCCTTGGCGACACAAACAGGGTAATAACACTAGATTGAACTTCAAGCCTCAGGTGTGCCAGAAGAAAAAGGTCCCTCAGTGTTTTCCCACAGGAGCTTGTCAAAGACAAAACAATTTTATCTTTCCATTTCACTCTCCTGCTCTGCTCATCCTTTCCAGAACACATCCCTCCTTGTACTTCTCATGAAGCAGCAGAAATAGACCTCCCGCTCCCAGCTGCCTAACAGCACCTCTTTGTCCTAAGCAAATCAAGTTCCTGTCATCAAAAGCACCACGTTACCATGGTTGCATGGATACGTAAATGTCGGTGCCATTACAGATGTCAAGAAACTGTCAGGTGAAGGGGAAGGAGGAAAAGATAAGGGACTGAACTGGAAATCACTGACCTAAGTTCCAAGGGGTAACAGTCTCCCTTAGCATAAAGGGCTGTCCTTTGACAGACCTAAAGCTTTCAGTCTGGATTAAAAGCCAATCACCTCCAGTGATACAGCTTTCCCACAGGTGCTGCAAGTTCCCACTCTCAACATACAAAGTTCTCAGGGGAAACATACCCTTACCACTGAAGGCAGCAAGCTAACATCAGGCTTTACTAAAAAAGCTAAGGAGAACTCGTGTTCAAAGTGTGGTTGCTGAACGATAGCAAGCCCCATGGGAAGCTGGTACCACATTTCCAA